AGTGTTCGTTTTCTCTATGACTCTGAGCTTTACTTCCAACAGATGTGGAGGTGAGATTACTTTAGGCTGTTTGAGATGGCATCAAACTTGAGAATTATAAGAAAAAGTCACTCATGGAAAGATCTGGGCAGTGTTCTGGGCAGAGGAAAGAAAAGCCTAAGTTGGAACAAGCTTGGTGTGTTCAAAGGTCAGAAAGGCCAAGATGGCAGAAATGGAGAAAATGAAGGAGATGCTGGTGTACAGGTCAGACAGGCAGGCAGGAACCTCTGTTCTGTTACCAAAGAAATCACAGAGTCCCTCAAAGGTCGAGGATGTGGCTCATTGACCTCCTCAATCCCTCCCAGTGCCTGGCACCTTGTCTTGTCTATGGCAGGTATGCAACACATATGAGTTAATTAAAATTCATCAGGTTAAGAATGTGTTGGTTGAGAGGCTCAATAGTCTGTAATCATGTGGTCTGTGGACTGGTTCTAGTCCTGTTTATTACGAGTCTTAGTGAGAAAAGAAATTGAGACTGACTTACTTTCTAGTCCTGTTTATTACAAGTCTATAGTGAGAAAAGAAATGGAGACTGACTTACTTATTTATTTATGTATTTATTTATTTTTTGAGGAGGAGTTTCACTCTTGTTGCCCAGGCTGGAGTGCAGTGGCGCAATCTCAGCTCACTGCAACCTCTACCTCCTGGGTTCAAGCTATTCTCCAGTCTCAGCCTCCTGAGCAGCTGGGATCACAGGTACATGCCACCATGACTGGCTGATTTTTGTATTTTTAGTAGAGATGGGGTTTCATCATCTTGGTCAGGCTGGTCTTGAACTGCTGACCTCAGGTGATCCACCTGCCTCAGCCTCCCAAAGTGCTGGGATTACAGGTGTGAGCCACCACGCCCGGCCGAGAAGACATATTTAGAACCCTTTATAGCAATGACATTGCCACAACAGCCAAGAAAACTTTCACTGTATTGAAAATTGGGCTGTAACGGATTGAAAACGTAAAATCCTGACTCCTTACCAATTTGAGAAGCTTCGGCTTCTACTTTCAAACCACCGGTGATCAGCACACCAGCTACGTGGATGAAATTAGGAAGGACAGTAAGTCCTCACTTAACGTTGTTGATAGATTCTTGGAAACTGCGACTTTAGGGAAAACGACATGTAGCATGTCCTCAAATGATGTTGTTTCTTTATAAGTCATTTTGCTTCAAGTCACAGTTTCCAAGAACCTATCAATAACATTAAGTGAGGACTTACTCTTCTTTGATGAGCCACATCACTATTCCTTGGAATGGTGGCTCATGCTGATTTTACAGATAGATATATTTATATATAAAGTAAAATATACATCATAACCCTGCATGTGATCACATGCCTACAGAAAAAATTCCTCCCTTCCCAGGACACTGACCAGAGTTGTCAAGCCAGACTTATAGCGGTCTTCACTGGTTCCTGGTGTCACCACATCATCTTCGGCACCTGGCATCGCAACGCCGCCTTCCATACCTGTAGTCTCAACGTCATCTTCTGGCTGGCCCGTGCTGGCTGAAGAAGAAAGATTGAGTCAGAGCTTAAGGTGGAAACCGCATAAGCAGACCGAACTTGCCGGCTACATTCGGATTATTTTCTTTTCCATTTCTTTTGGAAATTTTTGTTTTATTTTTGGGGTCCTTTTTCTGGCTTACTGTGGTGCCAGAAACCAAACCATTCTCCTTGTAGCACTTCTGGTCCATCAGCACCCTGGTTATCTCCCGTTGCAAAGCAAAGGAAAATGAAAACATTAAAAGGTAGAGCAGCCAGCGCCTCCCTGGGCCCCCACCAAGGTGGCCTGGACAGGGGACGTACATCTTTCCTTTTCAATAAGGAACCTGATTCTTCCTGGTGTCATTTCATATGATGAATTAATATATTCATCTAGACCTAAAAACTCTAAATTAGAGTCAACAGGAAAGATTTCTAAACATACCCCTTTGCAGATTCCATGCAAAACTGGGGTCTCCATCTGTTTATTGATTTTGTTCTTCTTTTCCCTTTCTTTCCAAATTAATTTTTTTTTTAAGAGACAGGGTCTCCCCTCCGTTGCTGAGGCTAGAGTGCAGTGGCACAATCCTAGCTCACTATAACCTAAAACTCCTGGGCTCAAGCGATCCTCCCACCTCAGTCTCCAAAGCAGCGGGGACTACAGGTGCTCACCACCACATCCAACTTCCATCTTTTAAAAATCAAACTCTCTCCATTTAATTTTGAGACTGCTGTTCACTTAGACAATTAGAACCACAGGCTCTGACCACAGACCTCATAGATTACATGGAGTTTTACCTCTTACTTTACAGTTGAGATTACTGTCTACAGGGGAGGGTCAGTAATCTGCTTAGGGATGCCAAGATGCCAATAGAACACTTAGTAACACCAAGAGCCAAACTAGCTGGGTGCAGTGGCTCACGCCTATAATCACAACACTTTGAGAGGCCAAGGTGGGTGGATCATTTGAGGTCAGGAATTTGAGACCAGCCTGGCCAACATGGTGAAACCCTGTCTCTACTAAAAATACAAAAATCAGCCCTTTGTGGTGGTGAACACCTGTAATCGTAGCTACTCGGGAGGCTAAGGCAGGAAAATTGCTGGAACCCAGGAAGCAGAGGTTTCAGTGAGCTGAGATTGCATCACTGCACTCCAGCCTGAACTCAATCTCAAAAAAAAAAAAACCACAGCCAAACTAATGAAGTGCCCCTGGCCCTGGCTTTTCTGCATTAACATTTGGACAAATGATGTGTCATGCCAACGAGAAAGGTTTCTGGGCCAGGCGTGGTGGCTCACGCCTATAATCTCAGCACTCTGGGAGGCCAAGGCGGGCGGATCACAAGGTCAAGAGATCGAGACCATCTTGGCTAACATGGTGAAACCCCGTCTCTACTAAAAGTACAAAAATTAGCTG